TGGCAGTTGGTTTGATTTGGTTCCTAGTCTTGAGCAATCGCCTGCAGGGTGACAAGTCATCCAGAGGTATGGTTAAAAGCCTGCTCTTCCTCACCTCTAGGTGGGCTGGATAGGCTGAATGTGCTAGCACAGGCTTCGAAACTCTGGGTTTTCTGGAAGTTGCAGAGCAGCCTATTCTGTCTGCAGCCTGAACTGGGTTCTAGCCCTTTAGCCCAACCACAGCCCTTCCCACTGTGTGTCCACCCCGCTCTCAGGGTCCTGGTAGGTAGTATATGGGTGGGCAGAGACACCATAGCAGCTGCTGAGGCCTCTTCTTTCCTCTTTGAAGGATCTGATGCTGCAGCCGATGAGGGCTACTTCATCTATTAAACCCAATACACTTGTCGCAGCTGCTAAGCCCCCGTAAGCCGCCGGGCGCCGTGTTTGTGATGGGACTGACAGTGCATGGAGGAGGCTGATTATACACGATTCCATTTCGCGCGGGCCTAGCAATGTAATTTCACAGGGCGATCAGCGTTTGCATGTAATAGCAGGCTGTGCTGAGGTGTCAGAATATTAAAGGCGCTAATGGCAAAGCTCCCTGTTACACAGGGGGCCACCCGCCGCGCCTACAGCAGGGCTATGCGGCAGGCCCGTCGCAGATGGCTGGCCACTAAGCTAATGGGGCAGCAGCCAAGGCGGGCAGAGCCACGAGAGAGGAGAGCCAGCCGGGAGCAGCTCGGCACCTGCTTCCCTGTGCATGGAAATTGCAGCAGCCCAGGGGAAGGGAAGCGTGTGTGCCTGCCTGGCACAGGGCTGGGGTGGGTTGACTGGGTAGGCCTAGCATCTTTCACCCCAGCCAGTTCCACCTGTCCCTGTGGCTCGTATCAGTACCTGGCCTGGACAGGACTCAGGAGCTCCTCAGTCATCCTCCTACCTGCCCCACCCTCTGGCTGGGAACCCCAGGGGCTAGGTGCTGACTGTGCATAGCTGGGCAGGTGGACCCTGATGGCTGAGAGAGTTGCAGCCAAAGAAGTGGCACCCAGAGGATTTGGAAGCAGATTTGGGAAACAGGCTTGGGCACAAGTTCTTGGAGAGAGCTCTTAAATCAGATTCCTGCCCCACACTGATGAAGGTCAGAAAGCTTCTGGGCCTCATACCCCCACTCCCCTAAGCTGGCAGGAGAGGGAAGGGAGCAGTGAGAGGGAGCAGGCAGGAGTAAAGGGATGGACACAAGGCCCCTTGATGCCATGTTGCTGCCAGGTACACAGAGTTGAGAGGCAGTGCCTTAAGATGTCGTTCCCCTCTCTAACTTGGCTGTCCCAGCCACACCCAAGCCTTTATTGTGCTTGCTCATGCCATTTTCCTTTGTCCTTGCTGTGCCTTCTGTCTGGAATGTTATACTCCCCTGCCACCTGTCAAACCCTCCCAGCCTGCCAGCACCACTCCCTCCAGGAAGCTTTCCTAGCCTCCTCCAATCTCACCGGGGTGTGCTTGTCTTCATTGTCCCCTGTGGGCAATCCACAGGGCTCAGTCTTGCTGATCCTCCTGCTCTGGTGGGGCCAGCCTTGGCTGGCCTTGGCTCCTCAGCCGGAATCTCTGACACATAGCCCATGACACCTCACCCTGATCAGGACTCCCAGGGAGGTCTCTGCTGAGATTTGTAGACAGATACAATCTCTTAAGGAGGGCGAATGGAGGGAGCAAGTAATGGAAGGGTGGCAGAGTCACCTGAGGGCAAGTCCGATGCATGTGTGGCGTGCCAGCATATATGCGCTTGGGCCACTCCATGGCCTGCATATCTGGTGGGGAGAGGCGTGGGCTTTAAAAGTGAGTAGTGGGCACGGATGAGTCTAGGTGCAGAGGAGCAGCAGGTGTGAGGATCCAGACCATATGTTGGCAGGAGCACAGGTTGCTGTGGGACCACCGATGTTTTGTGTGCAGCTATCTGCATCTGTTGGCTGTGCCTGAGCAGTACCCAAGATGGCAGGAGCTGGGGGGAGCATGAGGTGCTGGGCCCTGGTATTATGCCTAGGGCGGCCCCATGAGGCTAGCGGTCACATCAGAAGGTTAGGCTCCGCAGGTGCACGTGTCAGTACCTGGGGAAGACGTGCCAGGATTCTCAGCAGGGCCAACAGCAGGAGAGCCCAGGCTGAGGGAGAGCAGTTTTAATTAACCGTTTTTAATATCGTTTTTGGACTTTGGCTGGTATGTGAAGGCCCCGCTGGAAGCAGCATTTGTAAAAATTAAATCCCTCTTATTAGGAGCTTGGCAGACCCATGTGCATGTGCCGCCCCCTCCCCCGCCCCATGCCCCCCTGAGGAAGTGCTGGATGAGGCCATGTCACAGCAGCAATTGGTTATCACGCCTTATCTGGGAATATGAAACTGTGTGGCATGACACCCGTGGCCACAGTGGAGACGCCAATTCATCTCGCCCTCGCTCTGACAAGCCAGACTGCCCTTCCTGAAAGGCATCCGTCAGGCGGGACCGGGTTGCCGCCTTGCCTGGCACCTCTGCTTTCCTGCCAGGGGCCCAGCTTTCCCTGGTCCAGCCTGGCCCTCCTGGGCTCTGCTGTTCTCCGTCCCCCTTCCACACATCCCAGTCTGTGGAAGATCTTGGGGAGTCATAATTACAATAATAATCTAATCACAGTGACGCGGCGGGGCAAGAATCTAATGTTATCTGAAGTGGTCTTCCCACTTAACTGCGATAAGACTCAGGATGACGTGCAGATAACGTTGAGCTGCCCTGTCCCCGAGCCATAAGCAGAGCGGAGGGGCCCCGGCAGCCCTGCCGCCCGCCCGTCGCTTTAAGCCGGGAAGCGGCAGCACCTGCTAATGCAAGTGTTTAATATTTGATGGGCTGGGATAAAGCAGGATCACCTTCGAATTGAATTGAGTGTCAGCCGAGAATCTATTACTGAAATTCGGGTGTGATTTGACAGCAAAGTAGACGATGTTATTCTTCACTAGTTACTGCAATCTTCTCCCCGACATCACTTAAATATTTTTTTCTTTGCTTGAGTAAACACACATTATCCTTCTTTTTTCCTCTTTCCTTCCCGTTTTCCTTTTTAGAGGGGGAAAAAAAACCCATCCAGCTCGCCTTCTCCAGGCTGATAGAGTAGATTGTTATTTCTTTATTTGTCCTATTAAATGGAATTTCTGATCGTTTAATCCGGCCTTTGTAAGTGATTTTAAAGTACTTGAAAGGCGGCCGCCACTGCTCTCTGGCCCACTGCGCTCCAGCCTCAGCCCTGACCAGGCTCAGTGGCTTCTCTGACTGTGCACCGCCCACTGGCTGCTTCCCTCACTGCCTCCATCCCAGCTCTGCCCTGGCTCTGGGCCAGCATCTTCTTCCCTGTCCTTGAGCCTCACACTCAGCCCCTGATTTGTGGGTTCAGCTGTGGCCTGGGAAAGGGTGGGGGAAGGCTGGCTGGGAAGTTGGGCTGTGGCTGGTACCTCTGTGGTCAAGGAGAATGGCTTTAGAGGGTGCTAAGGTTTAAGTACACTCTCTCCTAGCCTCCTAGTACCCATGCGGCTGGAGTGTTGGTTCCTGCAGCTGGAAAGGAAGGGTGGACACAGAATCTGGGTCCTGGGCCCTGGCACAGACACTGTGTGCAGCCTCCCATTTTGTGTTTCTGACCCTGTGCTGGGTGCTCTCACCTGTGTGTTAGTGGGATGGAGACCTCCTGGGACTAGCAAAGGGCTGGACCACTGCAGTGCTCATCTGCTCACAGCTGGCAGTCACTTTGGTTCCATCACTGGACCCCCATCCAACTTCTGGAAACTCACCCAAGCTTTATTCTGACCACCGCCCTGTATGCTGTCCTGCCACTGGTAGAAGGGCAGCCTGGTGTTTGCGGACTTCTAAAGTGAGGTGTGGGTAATGTTTGAAAGCCTGACTAGCTACCAGGCCCACCAGGAGAAGCCCAGGATTTGGTTAACAGGCTGAGCAGGAATTAAATCCTATTCAGCTACTTCATAGTGATCTAACCTATGTTAAGTCTCTTCTTTCTGGGCCTCAGTTTCCTCATCTGTGGCGTCAGGTCAGTCATGGCTAAAAGGGACTGTAAGGCAAGGTGCTGCCCCTGCCCTGCCATGTGCCGCCCCCCCAGGTGGAGGTTGCTAGCAGCCAGGTGGTGAGGGAAGGGGATGGAGGGGGAGGCAGTGGAGTGCTGGGGCCTGAGCAGATCGATGCCCCCAGCACTTCCTTCCCCAACCCCAGGAAAACAATTAAGTACAGATCGATGGGTGGCCGCTTTGAATATGCATAAGTGAGCACTTGACCTTCAGCAGAGCATCTGCTCCCCCCACCACACACATACACATACACACTCACACACACACACAGACACACACGCACACATACACACACACACACGCCCCATGTACTCCCCTCCCAGCTGCTTGAATTGACCAAGTGACCTTACTTCTCTCCTCAGTTGAGCCCCCACAAAACTCCCAGAGCCTTCCATAGCCTGGCCTGCTTGTGGGCAAAAGCACCTTGACCATGGCACCTTGCTAGCCAGCTCTCACTTCAACATTTCTGTCTGTGGAGTGCAGTTTGGATGTGCTGGTTTCCAAGGTCCTGCCTGAGGCCAGTCTTTGTGAACAGTAGTACTGTGAGGAGGGGGCCCAGCAAAGTGCTGGGGGCTCTGGAAAGGGGGGATCCTAAGGAGGTGTGCATGGTACAGGTGTGCGCTTGTGAGAGGAGGGCTCCTGAGAAGGAGGAGCCTAGTGAATGGGAACTCCTTAGAGAGGAGTCCTGGTGAGGGGCACCTGGTGAGGGCCAGGGACTCAGATGGGGAGAAGCCCAGGAGAAAGGGCACTCTGGAGAAGGAAGGGACTTTGTGCTGGGTTGCGGGAGGACCTGGGTGGAGAAGGGATTCTCACGAGATGGCATTGTGAGAGGGATTCCTTGTTGGAAAGATTTGGGGGGTCGGGGGGAAGACCTTGTGAGTGGGGTTGGTTCAGAGGGTCAGGGCCTCCGTTAACCACTTGCCTCCTGTCTTCCAGGCTTACAGCTTCGCCATGGGCTGCTGGCCCAAGAATGGACTTCTAGACATGAACAAGGGCCTCAGCCTGCAACACATAGGCCGGCCCCACAGCGGCATTGGTCAGTCCCTTCGCATATTCCCCTGGCAGCTCCATCCATCGTCCCTTGCCCGCATGCCCCAGTCCCCAGGCACACAGAGAATTTCCATGGCTCATTCAGTGCCCCAACAGGGCTCTCTACATAGCTGGGGGGATGGCAGAAGGCGGGTGGAATGAGAAAATTACTGAATGGGACCACTGGAAGGCACCACTCAAAGTGGTATTTTGGAGGAGGCTGGGTCTGGGCTTTTGGTGAGTCACAGGTGGCCTTGGACTGAGGCCAAGGTCCCCCCTCACTGGCTGCATCTCTAGTGGGCAATGTCCTCAGCGGGTGGGGATGTGTCAGCTTACCCACCCCCCGTGGAGCTGGAGGAGGCTGTTTAATATTGTTTCAAGTCTGTGGCCACTAAACTGGACGATCAATGGGAGTTAAGGAGATGAATTATTTAAACCTCACCAGCTTTTAATTAGTCGGGGTCCTTCTGACCGATGACTCCGTCCACAGGGTATTGACTCCCCCGCAGGAGCAGCAGCCTCCATTGAGCGGTGCCTGGGTTGAGGCGGGCCACTTGGGGTACCAAATGGGGGTATACCCTCAGGGGGATTCTTGTTTGGAAGGGAACTGGAGTGGCTACGATTCCAGGCAGTTGGAGGCTCTTTTAGTTTCTGATCTATCAGTATGAATACATATCTGTATCTGTGTGTCTGCATATGTGTGACACCTTTAGCTGTATGTCTCTGTGTCAGACTGAGAGTATAATGTGTCCATGATTATACATGTCTGTTGGGGGGCGTGTTAACAGTATATCTGTATTTTTCTGAGCGCATGAGTCTGTGTGGAAGCAGCTACCAGTCTCTGTGTGTATCTGTCAAGTGTCTCTGTTCAGTTCTGTGTATCTTATTTTGTTTGCATATGCACATATGTGCATGCACATGCTCTCAGGTGGGGCACCTGACCAGGCATAGGCCTTATTCCAAGTGGGGAAGAGCCAGAGTGTCTCTGGGCAGTGCTCTGACATTACCACAACCTGTGAGCCTTTGTGGTCACATCATTGTTGGGGGAACTGGAGAGAGAATACCAGGTCCGAAGGACCCAGTCACCTCCTTCAAAGTAGACCATTTATCCATTCCAGACATTCACTGGTGCCTTGTGGATGCTGGGCACACTGAGTACAAGTTTCTGTTCTCAGTGAGCTCACATCCTGGGAAGAGACAGGGACTTGCCTGAAGTAGGTGCTTGCCACCCAGGGTACTAAGGGCCGTGATAGAAAATACATGGGTTGCCCCAAAGGTGGTTTTCCCTCTCCTTAGTTGCCAGGTAGTTTCTACTTCTTCAGTTACCTCTCACTAAGAGGTAGTGATATTGGGGGCATCTCACCCCAGGAGGGATGCCCCCATGTTCTTGTTGGGACATCTCAAGGGTTTCCCAGGGTCCAGGCTAAGAGGAAGTGACCAGCAGGCCTGGGGAACTGGGGGTACTCCACCATAACTGATGTTCCCTCTCATAGATATTTTCCAAACAATCTAGAGAAGATGCCAAACACAGTAGGGTAATATGCCTGGGAGGTCAGCAGGAAGTTTCCTATATAAGAGGACACTTGAATTGGAATCTTTGAAGAATGAATAGGAGTGTTTGGTAGTCAGAAAAATGGGGGAGGGTATTTTAGATAGGAGGACTCAGTAGAAAGGCCTGTGGGCATGAGAAACCCAGTGTGCTGAGGACAAGTTCAGACACCTACAAGAAGCTTCCCATGACTGGAGTGGCAAATTTGGGTTAGGAAATAGCTAGAAAATAATCAGAGACATAAGCAGGGCCTTGAATGGCTGGTTAAAGGGTGTGGACTTTTCCTGCAGTTTTGAGGAGACATAGGAAGTTTGTGAGTGAGAGAATGATGTGATCAAAGCTCTGGTTCAGAATCAATGAAGCAGTTTGTGTTGCACAAAACTAGTTCTTAGTAGGTGCTCAATAAATGCATGTGGGTGGTTGAATGAATGAGTAGGTGAGTAAATGAATCAATGAAAGAGTGATGGGAAAGGGAGGAACCAAAGAGGACCAGTGAGAAGACTTGCATTGGTCCACGGAAGGAAGAACTGGCTGGGGGCTAGGGACAGCCAGGGTTAATGCACCCCACATACACTTTATCTGGGTGCCCCTTCTATCATCTGTTCCAGGGTGTGTGTTTGAGAAGAAGGGGTTCCTTGTTCCCGCTCTGTGCTGCTTGAGACTCAGCAATGCCCCTGTTGTCTGTTCACCTGTTGACCCTAGGTTAGGACCTCTGAGGTATCCCCTGCTTTTTCAGAGAAGGTGGTTTCTTTATCTGGGTGGGCCCCATGGGGCAGCCCAAGGCTCTGAGTGACAATGGAGGTAAGGGCTTTGGAGCCAGAAGTAGTTCTGGTTCTTCCACCCAGAACCCTGTGACCGTAGATGAAGGACAGTGCCACCTGCCTCTCTGGGTTATTGGGAAGGCTCAGTGAGTCCCCTGGGAAAGTGTTCATGCAGTGCTGGGCACACTGTGGGGCTAAAGGGGCTCCCTCCTCTGTTGCCAGCACCAGGGGCTCCCTAGGATACTGGGCTTCTTGACACTTGGTCTTTGTAGTCTTTGAATGAAGAGGGCTGCCCTGCCACCTCCAGGCTGGCTCTGAGGTGTGGGTGAGGGTGCTTGGAAGGGAGGGAGGATATAGGGCATTAATTGGGCTGGGAGAGGCGGGGAAGGGGAGGCGTCGGTTTTGAGCAGTGAGGTTAATGGCCCTCGCACCAAAGAGACAGCTTTAATGAGCTTCAGCTGGCGATGCCCCGAGTTACTGTGCGTGCTAAAAGGGTCGCGCTGTAAGAGTTTGATGTGGACTGCTTCCCAACCCTGGGGGTCAGAGGTCAGCTCCTGTCACTGGCCACTCAGGCTGGTCCTTAGTGACATGGTGCTAATTAACTGTGAGGAGCTGCCAGCTTGGAATGGGGAGTGGTATGTGTATTGGCTGGTGGGGGGTGAGGCAGCATTGGGTGGCTGCCAGGCAAGGGTGCTGTGGATCCCACAGCTGAGCCATGTCCAGGGGCTGCTCAGTCCTCCCGCAGTGCCACAGGAGTGTGGCATGCGTGGTGTGAAGGTGCTGAGAGAGCACAGAGGCAGGCTTGGGGTGACGGGTGTGGGGAAGGGGCTCAGGCCATGGGGAGAGGGCTACTAGGATGGTTGTGCATGCTATAGGAGTGTTTTGGCCAGGGGAGTTACATGGTCAGTGTCGGCTTCAGTCAGAGGATGCTCATAGTTTGTAGGGGAAGGACTAGTGAGGAGAGACTGCAGATAGGGAGGCTGAAGGGGAGGGGCAACAAGGTAAGCAAGAGTGCATCGGCCCTGGAAATAGACGTAGGACACCAGGTAAAACTTACTTTCATTCCGTACACACTATCTTGGACCTACCATACATCAGGAACCATGGTAGGTGCTAGAAATGTATTTTTAACAATGGCAGACACAGTGCTCTGCCCCCACAGAGCTCACAAGTGGAGTTGTGGGCTTGGCCCTGGGGACTGAAGGTGAAGTTGGGTTTAGGGATGGCCAAGGAGGGTCCGGAGGTGGTGCAGCACTGGGCAGAAAGGCTGCTGGAGGCTGTCAGCGTGACGTCATAGTCAGGGGAGGGCACTTCCTTCTGCGGTAGCAGATTTTGCCTTGGGAGCCTGGTGAACAGCCTGGTGCCAGAGCAGGTTGTGGTGAGTAGGGCCTGCATGCATCTAGAACTGCTGACTCCAGGGCTGCCGATGGTCTCTGTCAGCATCCTTGGTTTGGACCACAGGCTCTGAGGGAGGGCAGCCTCCACAGGGGACTGCTGAGTGGTCCTTCATTCATTTCAGCAAAGGGGCAGTAAGCACTCACGTTAGTTGGAAGCACTTTATATTAACTAATTCAGTTTTCACAACAGTCTTATGAAGGCAGGCATCATCATTCCCATTTTATAGATGAAGAAGCTGAGGCTCAGTGAAGTGAACTGCCTAAGGTCACACAGCCAGTTGATTGAGGAGCCAGGATTCAAACCCAAGCCCATCTGAGTGCAGAGCCTGTGTTATCACTGCGGAACTCTGAAGCACCCTTTTGGTATTGGGCTTTGCGCTACCAATAGAGACGGTGTGGAAGAAAACAAGCGCGCTTTCCTCATTTCCCTCAGTGTCAAGTGAAACATGCAGGCCTGAGCAGAGCTTTAGTAGCAGCAGCTGAGGAAGAAAGCAAAGGCAGCATCACCACTCCCTCTCTGCTGCTACAGTCACCCTGAGCCAGGGACCTGCAACTGTTGGCATCTGACCTCCTTCTGGCCCTGACGGTTGTGATTTCAGTTCTCTCTCTACCTCATGGCCCAGGAAAATTCTGCTAATCTTCCAGGGGCCACCTCCTCTGGGAATCTTGCCTGGCCCTCCCAGTATGAGTGTTCAAAACACACACTTGGGCCCTATTATAATTTGTCAGAGGTAATGATCTGGCCCTACGTACTTGGGTTCTCTAAGGGCAGGGCCTGGGCCTCCCCTTCTTTTTTGGAAATCTGCACAGGAAATGTCAGTAAAATCTCACCTGCTGTTGTAACTTGGAGGCCCCACAGACTACTGCTGGTTTCAGCTGGTTAGGAGAGTAACTGGAACCTTCCCTGATGCCTGGCTGGGTGGTCCTTCCTAGGAGCTTGGCCCCTCTGCTCTGGGATGGAGAAGGATCCCGGTGAGGCTTATGGTACAGGTGGCATGGCCAGAAACCAAGTGGACTCTCAAGAGCTTGCTACCCAGAACTGTTTGGCAAGAGAGCTGGGCTGGAAGGTGGCAGGGTGGGGGCCTGGCCCCCAGGGGGGCAGTGGGCTGGCCTGTGGTCTCCCCTGAAGGAGTGGGGTGTCTATCAAGAGTCCAGTCAGAACGCATTAGCTCTGTGACATGGATCTCATTAGTGCCCGTGAGAGGTGTCACTGCGGGAGAATCGTCGGCTCAGGGAGACGCTTGTACCAAAAGGAAGAAAGGACAGTGACAGCCTTTTCTCTGCCGCCTCTGCCGCCACGCTCACTGGGCTGCCCGCCCTCCTCCTCGTTGGGGGGGTTGTGGGGGTGCTGGCTAATGAGCTCGTCTGCAGTACAGCTTTGCCTGGCCTCCTTGAAGTTTCCCGGGTCCCTCTGAAGACCTCGGGCCCGGGATTAGCACACACCAAACGCCAGCCCCCCTCTTGCCCAGCAGGGAGTTCCTTCTGATCACCCTATTCCTGCTGCCATAGGCAAGGAAAGGGGGTGGTACCAAGATAGAGCCACTGTGGCCTGGGGGAGGGGGCCTTGCACCTCTGGGAAGCCTCAAGCCCCTCTGCATCCCTTGACAGAATGACCATGTCCACCTCTCTGCAAAGGGTTCTTGCTTCCCAGAGCTGCAGTCTTCTCCTCCCATCCCCTTTCTCCATGACATCTAGCCTGGCAGTGTCCCCATTCCTGTGGGGGACCCCCCACCCAAGGCAAGGAAGAATGTGAGGACCTTGGCTGAGGGTTCAGGAGGTAGCATTTAGATCTTATAGGATGTGGGACTTTCTGGCTCAGCTAGAGAGCCTCAGAATCAGCGAGATTCGTGGAGTCTTCTGGGCTTCAGATGATCTGAGTGGTGATGCATCGATGTGAGACCTCTACAGACCTTGATGTCCTTCTCCCCATTTGTCCCAGAGAGGTACCTTGTCCGCTTCCCCTAGCTTTGGCCACCTTCAGGGCTGGGAGGGGAGGAGTCAGCCCAGCTGCCTTATGGGGAAGGGCAGAGCACAGTGGAGTGTTTGCTTCCCCAACACTACTGCCCCCTCCCATCCAGTTCTTTCTGGTGTGGACCTAAGAATGTGAGAAGCCAGGGAGGTGGATGGTCATGAGAAGGGTTAACTCCCCCGTCATTGACAGGGTCTGCACTGGCCTGCCTGGATAGTGCCTTGGGAGAGGGTGCTGGCTCCTTCCTCCCTGAGCTGACCCCCTTGGAGCCCCAGAGACATCTGAGGAATTGGTTCTTGCCAGACACCAGACTACTCTTCAGTAGCAACCATAGATGGAAGAATGACTAGATGGATGGGTGAGTTGATGGATGGATGGAGGAAGATTCTCCTGTCTGTCTGTCTGTATGTATGTGTTCTGTGTGTTTGATTCTTCAGGAAGTACAATCTTTGTTTCCCCACCTTCCTAGCCCCAGGCCCCGGCCTCATCTCCCCTTGTCTCTCTCTGTATCTCCTGTCAAACCATCGCAGACTTAAATGACAAAGAAATCAGAAAGACAGATCAATGCCGGCCAAATTAGCACTTGCAGATAGACTGTGTGGGGATGTCAGCGCCCTGACCCCTGGTGATCTTGCAGCCTCCGCTGCTGATATTATGCAAATTGCATCCATCTGGCAGGACCCGCGTGCTGGCTGCTCCTACTCAGAGGAGTAATGGGCTGGGGGTGGGCGGGAGTGTTAGAGCAAGAGTCACTGGAGTGTGTGCGTGTGTGTGCATGTGTGAGCATGTGTTTGAGTGTGTGTGAGGGCGTGCGGTGCCCACCAAGCACTGGGCGGTGATTGAGTGATTGACAGGGCAGATAAGGGACTGCATTGGATTCCTTTGGGCTGGGGGATTAGGAGCAGCCACAGATGGGAGATAACCGGACTTCATTTCAGTTTATTTTCCTCCTTATCCCCTCTCCCCACCTTCACTCCCCGAAAAACACAATCTCTGTAGTTTGTGTTTTCATCAATATTTGCAAGTCATTACCACTGGTTTAAGGTGAGAGACAATGTCAGGGCCCAGACCAGGCCAGCCCCTCCCCCAGTCCCTGGTACCCTGAGAATCAGTCCCTAGAGCAGCACAGCCAGCCTTCACTCCAGTGGCATTCACAGCAGCCCCTCCTTTCAGGCCCACAGTACTCATGGAGCAGTCCACACCTCATGGACCAGCCCTGCTGACCCAGCCCATCTGACCTCATGCCAGCTGGCATTCCTTAAGCTTGGCCCTGCCCCTCCACCTGCAACTACTGTGGGACATCCCTCCCTGTGCTTTGGCTCCAGCATAGGTGCTCTGTCCTCGGCATTAGCTGTGCCCCCTGGGGCTGCCCCTCTCCTTCTGCAGGGTTCTGGACCCTTCCTCTTAGTTTCTCCCATCCTGGACACTACTGACCAGGCATAGGCCCCACTGGGCAAAGTGGGGCCTGTGGCCTGCGGAGAGGGGAATTTGGCCTGGTCTGAATCACACCAGTGTCATTCTATGTTTGCTGAGTGCCAGGTATTAGTACGGAGGGCTTTATATCTGTTCTGTCACTGAATTCTCAAACCCCGTGATAAGGGCTGTCATCTCTACTGGATATGAGGAAACTGAGGCTCCAGAAGGTTGTCATGACTGAGAGCTGCTCAGCAAGGAAGTGAGAGAGCAGGAATTTGAACACAGATCTCTCCTAGTCTAGGGTTGGAGTTCTTCACCACCATGAGTACTGCTTTCCTGCCATTCCACCAGCTGTAGACACGCAACATGTCACCACGCCTGGATCCATTTAAAAGAGCCATCCTTGTACCGCAGGCAGAGAAGTTCATTCAGCTACTAGCCTGTGAACACAGACCCTGACTCAGACCTCCTACTAGGCTAAACCAGCCCAAGCCAGGCTGAACCAGGCCAAAGGGGACTGGAATCAAACAGGCCCTGCTTTCAGAAGCTGTGTGTCTGAGACAGTTGGGCTGTAGCAAGAAGGACACACAGAGGACAGAATGTACCCAGCAGCTGAGCCAGCCCAGGAGTATGTCCCAGCATACGGCCTCCAGGCCCGTGTATCTCAAGGAGAGGGGCTGGGGTTGCCCAAGCCAACCTGCTGTGGTGGCTGAGGGTGTAGCTGTCCCAGAGGCCCCTCCAAAACTGGGTCCCTCCTGTACCCTCCCACCAGGCAGGGCTGGGAGCTGGGAGTACTGGGGACATGTCCGGGGACACGTGTGCAAGGGGAGCTTGTCCTAATGAGGAAAACATGGCTGCTAGTTAGGCAAGGGGCGGGCGGGGAGCCGCAGAGCTGATTGAAGGCAGGGGCAGGGGTCAGACAATTAGGCCCAGATCCTGCCGTTTGATGTGAGTTCTGAGGCCTCAAAGCCTCCCTTCAGCCGGCTCCCTCCACTCCCTCCTCTCCCTCCTCTTTCCTTTCTTCTTCTGCCCAAAGGCAGGAAGGATGGAAACGCTTACACTCACTGTTACTATTATTAAACCCTGCGGCAGGCCAGCCAGACCCCAGGACTCCTGCCCACAGGGGGCACCCCAGGCCCCCAGGAGGTTCCTTGGGCCCCAGAGTGGGCATCTGGCCAGAGGCCAAGGCCAGGCCAGCTGAGCCCCCGGGCAGGGTTACCCTGCCCCTCTTGCTTCTGGGGCAGGAGAGTGAATGGGGCTGCCCAGCGGGAATTTGGGCTCTGGGCTCTCAGGGCCATATCCCAGGCCTGCATTAACCATCACCTCCTGCAGCCGCTTAGTTCTTTTCTGTCCTGGCCTGGGGCTGAGGGTTGAGGGCATGATTCATTCACGCTCATATCCCATCACACAGTGATCTGCAGCAGTCGCATCAAGACCTTTTGCCACAAGATGGAGATAATGTAGAGCCTCGCAGCCCCACAGCACTGTCACACACCCCAGAGCAGACCCCCACACCAGATATCATAGCCACACATACCCTCACAGGCCATACCCACAGGGTCTTGCACAAAAGCACCTACTGTCCCCTGCCACAGGGCCCTGAGTTCTCAGCCCCTCTCCCAGAATAGCTAAGAATAGCAGTTAGATCTTATGTCTAGGGCTGGGGGTTACTAGGCCTCTTCTAGTCTCCCAGCCTAGGAAATAAGCTTAGAGAGTTGGTAGTGACCAGGGAGTGGGAAGAAGCTAGATTGGGGGGGGGAGGGGGCAGCAGTGGGGAGAGGGAGGGTGGGAGCAGAGATAAATGTTAGCTCATTTCTTCCGTAATTAGTTACTCCCTCATCCCCGCGTTGTAATTGTGAACAAGCTGTAATGTTTAATTAGTCTGTAAATGAAACCCCAATTTCATAATGGCCTGGCTGACAGGGCTAAGTGAGCAGGGGAGGAGGAGGAGGGGACTCTTCCTCCCCTCCTCCTGCAGGGTGGATGCAGGCTGTGGGATCACCTCCTTTTCCTTTCAGCCCCAGCCTGGCCTCTGTCAGAGGAGGCTGTGTGATGGGACTCAGGCCTATACTCTTGCTCTGAATATCCCTTCCACGGACCCATCTTACCAGAGGAAGGGGAGAGGAGGCTCTCAGGCATCCTTCCTGCCTCCCCATCACTCTTGGGTTGGGATAGAACAGTCAGCCCAACCCAGATGCTTCTGGTGGGAGAAGCTGACTCCAGTGGGAGAAGCTGACTCTGGTGGCCAGGCCTTGTGATCTCCCCAACGATGATACTTCCTCCCTAGAGGCCTTTGCTTGGAACCTGGCACCTCAAAATCTGGCCCTATACACCGAAAGGAGCCAGTGATTGGTTTAGGCCCCTCCCGACCTGTCCAGTCCCACTGCTAGGCGGGATCTAGCGCTGCGCTGCACTGACACCCATGCTGGCCCTTATTCTCCGCAGGGATTATCACTGCGGCCTGCGATAAACCGGAGCTGCCACAGGGGGGAGCCCCTGGCCCCGCGGCTGCCTCATTGGTCTTTCCCTGTCTCCCCTCCAACATCCTCATTGCCTGCACACGCCCCCGCCCCGCCTGCCGCAGCCATAAATCTCAATTTACGAGGGTGGCTCTGGTGGGGGAGGGAGGCAGCACCGCTAATGATGGCTCCTCAGCCGGATTTTTCATGTTGCACAGTCATAAATTTTTAAGAACAGCATGGGCAGCACGTTAGCGAGTTATCGAGGCTGCCTCCGTGCTGGCTGCCTGGCTCCAAGAGAGAAGAGCAGAGGCCGGGTAGGGCCAAGGAGGTATTCTGGGGCGGGGGTGGGGCAGGGCAACCAGAGGAGTCTAAGGCCAGGGTAAGACAGGGCCAAGCAGACGGGCTAGGGCTACAGTGAGCCTGTGCACAGGACAAGGTAGTGCTGCCAGCCGCCGGGAGCCAAGGCCAGGCACGTGGGTGGGATGAGGCATGTGGGCATGCAGACCGTGGCCTTCGGGAGTCCCTGATGGATGCCTCTGCTCCAAGACTTGACACCATGATGTACAGGAAGCCTGGAGACATATGGATTTTCAAAGTGGCCACTTTGAATAGAATTACAAACCCTGAGCATGTGCACGGTGAGGCCTCTGCCCTGGCAGAGCTACACCTAGTTCATAAACCAGGTGCCTTTTAGGATTGTTCTAGAGAGCTAGGGTGCCTGGGGAAATGCCCACAGAGGGAGCATATCTCTGGATATGCTGGAGCCTGGAGCCGGGCTGACCTCATTCTGTTTAAGGCTCATGCCTTCAAGGTTGAGTGTTACTAGGTAAGTCGTTCCCCATCCGGGGTCTCTATTTCTTCCTCTTTAAAATGGGGTTGATGCTGGCCCCTAACTGTCAGGCTTACTGGAAGCAAGAACTGTAAAATCCTTGGCCCATATTTGCTCCTTCATCTATTTAAATTTCTAGAAAAGTTTCTGAGGGAAGTGTCTGGGAAAGAGATCATTGTGGGAGATGATGGAGCCTTCCCTGTGTTTAGTCATTCATTCAGAAAATGTTTGCTGAGGTCTTCTGGGTGCCCAGGCCAGTACCAGGGCTTCAGAGGTGAGAGATGCTCCTTCGTGGGAGGTGAAGTGAGCACTTTTGGCTGAGGCAGGTCAATGTTCCCAGCCGTGTTCCTGGTTCCACCACAGGGTTGAGGTGCCAGATCCAGCCCTGTTTTTCCATGGAAGCACCTAAGCCTTCAGGGTGCTGAGAGGCTCATGCAGGTGTCCTCACAAGTCCTCGGGCCAGGCGCTCCCCTGAGTCCCCTGACCGGCACAGTTGAGGGTTAATGCTCTTGACCACCTCAAGGGTGGGCAAGAAGAGCAAGTAGGACTCCAGGAGTCCCTGGAGGAGGTGGGCCTAGCACGAGGGACAGCCTCAGAAGGCCACAAGCACAAAGTCAAGAAATCAGCAGTTGCTCAAGTCGGCAGAAGTAG